GAAAGATGGATAATCGTGATAAAGCGGCCGGTCGGAAGCGACAACCAGAGGGAGCCAACATTCCGGCGAACAAACGCTTCAAGTCAGCCGAGACCGTGTCTGCTTACTTGGGAGCCATCACAAATGTAAGAATCATGCTGAACATACTGACTTTGCTTACAACTTTGAAAAGTCTTTGAAGAAAATCAGAAATAGACGGATAAATTAGAGCATTCTGTAGGCCATTAAATTAATTTCAATGCAAAATATTGCAAACTCATTACTTAACCTCACAATTTGTGTTCGTGTGACATTGTAGCTAAAGTCAACGCACAATCTATGAATTTGTGTGCAAAATGTTCATATTTCATCGAGAATTTGTGTCAAGAAATCTAACAATTTAGTGTTTATTCCATTTTCAGGAACTTTCATCGAATGGAACGGTCCAACAGCCGATGAAAATTCATGACACGAGATTTCATCGGCGCATGAAAGAGGAAAACAAGCAAGAAAAGCTGACAGACCTCAACGCTTATTACATCGAGCATCTAAGCCTCACAGATCTCTTGAATGTTGCCAACTCCAACCAACAATTGAAACCAGCGGCGGATTTGGTGTTCATGAGCCATTTTGGGAAACGATTCATAAAAATCGATGTGGATCGCATGAATTTGGGTATCTCTGAGAAGCGCACATATTCGGTTACAACTGCAATTCCATGGTCGTTCCGTCTCAAGTTGCTTCGCTGCTTTGGACACTTGATCACAAGATTGAAGATTGCGTATAAACATTCACATGAGCCATCACAAGAGGATTCAAAACGTGCTGCACAAATTGATTGTAATGTCAACAAATACTGTGCTGAGTCACTGGTGGAAATCGAGTTTGAAAATTGCGCAGCACATACGCTGAATGATCTGAAGAAGCCATTCTCAACCGTTGAATCAGTACATTTTACTGACTGCGAGATCGGAAGCAAGCTGTCCGAGCTCGATAAATGGTTTCCAAAGGTGCAACGCTTGGAATTTTATCGGACAATCGGAACATCAGATGGTAACGACATTGCTGTTCATTTTGCTCATCTTCAACATTTGGGTCTATATTATCCACCTGATGAAAAGATCTGTTTCAACGAACAATATTTTGTTGAACTCTTGCGCCTAAACCCGAACCTACGAAGCTTATGTATTGGTGGCTGCATCGATGCCAAGTACCTTCAGAGCGTTAGACAACATCTACAGCATCTGGAAAGCCTGGATATCTATGCACATGGACACTTCTCTGATATTGCAAACGATACCGTGCACTTTCCAAATGTGAAGAAGCTCACATTACGAAATGTGGTGCTTGAACAATTTCCGCTGACATTCAACGAACTCGAATCTTTGGACGTTGTATCAACTGCTATGGACCGTCCATTGGCCGATTTCATCAGCAAACACAAAACACTTACCAAGCTTACTTATTTGGGTCGAAAACGCGGCAAAGAGGGCGTGCTATCCGAGATTTCTTCGCCAGCATTAGTTGAAGTCGATTTTGGACATTGCATTTTTCCGATCGATGAAGTGATCTCGTTCATGGACATATGCACATCGCTAAAGAAGCTCACGCTTGGATTC